CCCCTGCTCGACCTCTCGCCCAGCGCCCTGCGGCAGGCCCTCGAGGAGGCGGCGGCCGCGCGGCGGCTGAAGCCCCTCGGGCCGCTAGACGCCTACCGCTTCTGGCGCGCGGGGGCGAGCGTCGACTTCGCGACCGGGGCGCGGCGGCTGGAGGAGATCCAGCGCCGCGGGCGGTGGCGGTCGTCGCGCAGCCTTCGGCGCTACGAGCGCGGCGGACGCCTGGCCGAGCTCTTGCGCCGGCTGCCGTCCGACGTGCAGCGCGTGGCCGCGGCCGCCGCTCTGGAGCTCCCCGATGTCCTACGGGGGCGACGCCTGCCCTCGCTGGGCCGTTGAGGGCGCCGTCGGCGGCTGTGTTTGAGCTCTTCGCCGGCTCTGGGCACTTCGCGGGGGCCGTGGCCCGGGGGGGCGCCCCCGCGCTCCGATGGGAGAGCCTCGACGGCCCAGCCTGCGACCTGCGGGGCCCGAAGAACGCCCGCCTCCTCTGGGGCTGGATTCGCGCGGGCCTGGTCTGCGGGCTGCGCGCGGGTTTCCCCTGCGAGACCTTCTCCCGCGCGCGGGGTCAGCCCAGTGACCCGCCGCGCCTCCGCTCCGGCGGGGGAGGCAGAGAAGGTGAAGTGGGGCAACGGGTTTGTGGAGCTCGCGATCTCGCTGTGCAGCGCATGCTGCCCGTGCTTAGTGCCCTGGTCTATCGAGAACCCCGCTCTCACCTACGCCCGGCAGCTGCCGCCCATGCTGAGCCTGATGAAGCGTCGCCATGTCACGTCTCAGGTGTTCGAGTACTGCGGTTTCGGAACCCCGTGGAGGAGGAACGCCAACATTGTTGCCTACCTAATTGACCTGGCACCCCTTGCCCAGTGCAGAAGCGCGGGGCGAGTCTGCTTCGTCACCGGATGCAAGCACGTATGTCTGTCTGGAAAAAAATGGGCGCTGGCAGTTCAAGACAAAGTTGGCCGAGGCTTACCCTCGGAATCTGTGTAGTATCCTTGCTCGTGCCTATGAGAATGAGAAAGCCCGTGCCCGCGCCATCCAGTTCGAGACACTCATCAATAGAGCGTCTAGTTCCGAGTCCGCCTTGCGCAAATACTACATGACGTGATGATTTCCCATCGGCGTTGCCAGATCAGCTTTGCTGCTTGCCGCATGTTGCGCGTGTCTCGAGAATTCTGTCGATAGTCGGCCGTTGTGAGGGCCCGACCTCCAGCGGCTGCCACCTGCGGTCGCATCGTCTCGTATCCTGCCTCCTGGCCTGCAGTGAAAAAAGGGAGCATGTGATGTTCTTCGAACAGGGTTGCTCCCAGTGTAACGTCGGGCCGCCGAAACTGCATGGTCTCAGAAGTGTTTGCACCGCTGACATGATCGCTCAAGCTTCCCGCCCTCTCCCCCCCTCGCTTTCACTCTGTCATCGCACGTGTCTCGAGATTTTTGTCGAGAGTCAGCCGCTGTGAGGGCCCGACCTCCAGCGGCTGCCTCCCGCGGTCGCATCGTCTCGAATCCTGCCTCTTGGCCTGCAGTGAAAAAAAGAACATCCTTCTCCTCATTCCCTCCTTCTTCTCCTCGTCCCACTCGCGAGTCTTGCTCCTCCTCCGCCCCCCCCTCTCGAGCCCTGGGACCCCTCCTCGTTGCCCTCCTTGATTCCTGTCCTCCCTCCTCCTCCCTCCTCCCCGCCGACGTCCCTCGTCCTTCCTCCTCCCTCGTGCCTCCTGCCTGACCCTTGCTCCTTCCTCCTTGCTCCCTCAACCCTTCCTCCTGCCACCTCCCTCGTACAACTTCAAGATGCACGATCCAGCGGTTGCCGTCCCGCTGGTGCCATCCAATTCTTCACGCTTCGCGTATCCCCACCAGCCCATCTCAAAACAGCAACTCTTGCGAAGCATGCCGACAGTCGTGTTTTTCAGGCGTGTTTCCGCCTGCCCCCGCATATCTCCGGGCCTCTCGTCCTGGTGTGAGTCGTTCGGGCCCTTCGTCCTGGTGTGAGTCGTTCGGGCTCTTCGTCCTGGCGTGAGTCGTTCGGGCTTCTCGTGGTGTGAGTTGTTCGGGCCCTTCGTCCTGGTGTGAGTCGTTCGGGCTCCTCCTCCTGGTGTGAGTCGTTCGGGCTCCTCGTGGTGTGAGTCGTTCGGGGCCCTCGTCCTGGTGTGAGTCGTTCGGGCTCCTCGTGGTGTGAGTCGTTCGGGCGCCTCGTCCTGGTGTGAGTCGTTCGGGCCCCTCCTCCTGGTGTGAGTCGTTCGGGCTCTTCGTGGTGTGAGTCGTTCGGGCCCCTCGTCCGGGTGTGAGTCGTTCGGGCTCCTCGTGGTGTGAGGCGTTCGGGCACCTCGTCCTGGTGCGAGTCGTTCGGTCCCCTCGTAGTAGTAGTAGTAGTAGTAGTAGTAGTAGTAGTAGTAGTAGTAGTAGTAGTAGTAGTAGTAGTAGTAGTAGTAGTAGTAGTAGTAGTAGTAGTCAGTAGTAGTAGTAGTAGTAGTAGTAGTAGTAGTAGTAGTAGTAGTAGTAGTAGTAGTAGTAGTAGTAGTAGTAGTAGTAGTAGTAGTAGTAGTAGTAGTAGTAGTAGTAGTAGTAGTAGTAGTAGTAGTAGTAGTAGTAGTAGTAGTAGTAGTAGTAGTAGTAGTAGTAGTAGTAGTAGTAGTAGTAGTAGTAGTAGTAGTAGTAGTAGTAGTAGTAGTAGTAGTAGTAGTAGTAGTTAGTAGTAGTAGTAGTAGTAGTAGTAGTAGTAGTAGTAGTAGTAGTAGTAGTAGTAGTAGTAGTAGTAGTAGTAGTAGTAGTAGTAGTAGTAGTAGTAGTAGTAGTAGTAGTAGTAGTAGTAGTAGTAGTAGTAGTAAGTAGTAGTAGTAGTAGTATAGTAGTAGTAGTAGTAGTAGTCGTAGTAGTAGTAGTAGTAGTAGTAGTAGTAGTCGTAGTAGTAGTAGTAGTAGTAGTAGTAGTAGTAGTAGTAGTCGTAGTAGTCGTAGTAGTAGTAGTAGTAGTAGTAGTAGTAGTAGTAGTAGTAGTAGTAGTAGTAGTAGTAGTAGTAGTAGTAGTAGTAGTAGTAGTAGTAGTAGTAGTAGTAGTAGTAGTAGTAGTAGTAGTAGTAGTAGTAGTAGTAGTAGTAGTAGTAGTAGTAGTAGTAGTAGTAGTAGTAGTAGTAGTAGTAGTAGTAGTAGTAGTAGTAGTAGTAGTAGTAGTAGTGGCCGTAGCACCATGCGTAGAAGTAATAATAGTAGAGGTAGTAGTAGTAGTAGTGTGAGTCGTTCGGGGCCCGCGTCGTGGTGTGAGTCCTTCGGGCTCCTCGTGGTGTGAGTCGTTCGGGCGCCTCGTCCTGGTGTGAGTCGTTCGGGCCCCTCCTTGTGGTGTGAGTCGTTGGGGCTCTTCGTGGTGTGAGTCGTTCGGGCCCCTCGTCCTGGTGTGAGTCGTTCGGGCTCCTTGTGGGGCCTCTTGGGGGCCTCTTGGAGCCTCGTGGGGCCTCTTGGGGGCCTCTTGGGGGCCTCTTGGGGGCCTCTTGGGGGCCTCTTGGGGCCTCGTGGGGCCTCTTGGGGGCCTCTTGGGGGCCTCTTGGGGGCCTCTTGGGGCTGCTTGGGGGCCTCTGGGGAACCTCTTGGAGGCCTCTTGGGAGCTTCCTGGTGGCCTCTTGGGGCCATCTTGGTGCTTCTTGCGACCTCCTCAGAAGCGCAAATGGGAGCTGCCCCCTGAAAAGGACAAAATGAGCCCAAAACCTTAGTAAAATCAATGATTTTGCTATGAAGGACGAGGAGCGCTGCCCCCTCAGAAGGCCAACATGGGGCCAAAACCTTGTAAAATCAATGTTTTTGGCTTCACAGAAGAGGAGGGGGACTTATCTCAGCCCCTCTGTCGGGGCCAGAATCCTCGTGAGGGTCGTCGTTTTTTAGCCCTCCCAGGAGTCGAAATTGACCCCCCTGACGACCCGCCGGACCCCCTCTCCAGGCCCAGGGGGAGGGGGTAGGGGGAGGGGTAAACCCCTCCTCGAAGGGGAAGAAGGGGGGTTGAGGACAGAGCGGGCCCTCTAAACCACTCACGCCCAAAGGGCTGGTGGGATTCGTCCGAGGGAGCAGCCGAGCAACGCGTTTCTGACTGGATGTTGGCAGGTCGCGCAATGGCCGACGCTTTGCCGGAGAGGTCTGCGGAGCAGCATCGGGTAGACCTGATGGCCAGGGCGAGGGGTTTCCGATACTGCGCGCCGAGCTGCGCTCATTCGAAGGCGGTCTCTTCGAGCCGTGCTTGAGGCTGCCGCCGCGGAAAGAGAAGCAACACGCGACTCCCGAAGTGTTGAGCGTCTTGTTTTTGAGGCTGCCGCCGCCGTAGTGCCTCCGCCTCCCCCTCCTCCTGCCTTCACCCGTGCCGCGTTTCAGCTTTAGGTGTGAAAATCATGCGCCGCGTCCACCCTCATGGAATGGCTTGCCTCGTCTTTGTCCTTCGGTCTGCGCGGGTTCGCGCGTCTCACATAGACCTGATAAAGGGAGGGGCGGCACAGTCTGTAGGATGTGGACACACACACACGCCACACATGCATTAATGCACCAACATGTTCTTGAGGTCTGGTTTGTGGGTCGAATGTTTATACTGTTGTTCAGCTAGTAATGATAGCCGGATGATCCTAACCGGGTGTGCAGGAAGCCTACCAGGTCTCCCCGAAGGCCTTAACAATACCAAGTCTTCCCAAAGGACTTAATGGGTGTATGCGCAGGGGAGCTTTTCCCGAAGGTCTTGGTTGCTGCTGGGAAAGCAATGCGTCATCGGCTTCCAGGCTGATGTGACATCATCATACTGCTGCTCCTGTTCCTGTCCCCTCCTCCCTCTTGTCTGCTCCCTTGTCCGTCTTGCCCTTCCCTCACCTACTACTCCCTTCTCCCTCCTTCTCACCCTACTCCTATGCCTATTCCCCTCCTTCCTCTTGCACTACCCCTACTACTGTTCCTGTTCCCTCCTGATCCTTCTTCATCCCTGCTCCTCTTGTTCCCTCCCTCGTGCCTCCTCCCTCGTCCTCCCTCTTTCCTCCTTTTTGAGTCCTCCCCCCCTCTCCTTGCGGCAGGCGGTTCGGCCCAGGCAAAGTTGGACGGCCCTTCACCCAGTGGCGGTCCCGCGCCGCGCCGCGCCGCGGTGAAAGGCATGGTGCAGCTTCGCGTGGAGCGAGGCCAGGGCGAGCTCATCCCCAAGGACTGCTTCATTCTGGAGAAGACAAAGCAGCATGAACACAAAACTTCGGAGTTTCGCGCGGATTCCTTGGATCGGCGCTGGCCCCCCTGGAGGCGCCTCCGGCGTCGCCCCCGCCGGGCCAGGGAAGGGGGGGATGTCCAGCTCCGATCCGGGAAATCCGCGCGGAACTTCGGAAGCTTCTGCTCATGCCGCCTTCTCTGTTTCAGCCCTCTCCGTGCGCATCGGCGACTCCCAGAAGCTGTCGCGGCTCTCGAGCCTGCACTCCTTCCGCTTCCCGCACGCGGGCGACCGCCGCCTGGGCAAGGTCGAGGTGTTCCAGCGCATTGGCAGCGGCAGCATTGACGTGAACCCCGCCAACTCCAACACCAGGGACCTTTCGATCGACTGCTCTGGGGCGGGCTTCGGCAGCCTGGGCCTGAAGATCAACGTGGATCCGGACGTCGGAGGAAGAAAAGGTCCTCTGCCGCCTCGTTTTCGCCTTTTTGAGCCTCCTGGAGGCCTCCGTCGCCACCACTGGATTCGCCTCGAGGTTCTGGTCAGAACGCACCCTAGGAGAGGCCTGGGGAGTAGCGGTATCGGTACCTTTTGGTTCCCCCAGGACGAGACCAGCCAGCTGAAGGCGGGCGAGAAGCAGGAGAGCAAGGAGACGAAGGAGATGATGGCGGCGCGGGAGTACCTGTCCAAGCACGGCCTCGAGGTGAAGCTCTCGGAGGCCATGCAGGCGGTGCTGCGCGAAAGGCCCGCAGACCCGGCCGCGATGTTGGCCGCCAAGCTGAACAGCAGCACTGGCGAGCCACAGGCCCCCGCCGGGCCGAAACCCGCTGGTACGCGCCCGTCGCCGAAGGGCGCCGCGCAGGCCAGGGGCATGTCGAAGAAGAAGGACGAGCTTGCCGCCGCGAAGAAGATGGACAACGAGCTGCAGAGCGAGCTGGACCGCGCCGCGAGCGCAGACGGGGATGCCAAGAAGGAGTGCCTGTCTGCCCTTGTGGCCTCGCTGGAGGAGTACGACCAGACGGCCAGGGAGGACTGCATGGCCGCGCTCCTCGTGTCGATGGACGGCGACAGGAAGTCCAGGCAGGAGTGCATGTCAGCACTGGTCGGCGCGCTCAACAAGGACGACGCGGCCAGGGACGCGTGCATGCAGGCCTTGCTCGGGGCCATGGCGGTGTCGGACGATTTGGACCAAAAGGCCAAGGCCGACTGCATGGGTGCGCTGATGAGCGCCATGGAGCAGGAAGGCATGGCCAAGCAGGATTGCATACAGGCGTTGGTCGGCCATGTGGGTACGCAGGATGCCGACGAGAGCGCCAGGTCAGAGTGCCTTTCCGCGATGCTTGGCGCGCTCGAGGAGGACGGCCAGGCCAGGCAGGAGTGCTTAAGCGCCCTGGTGGAAGCCGTGGGGTCGTCGAAGGACATGGGCGACCAGGCCAAGGCTGACTGCATGGGCGCGCTTGTCGGCGCTCTCGAGCAGGATGGCATGGCCAGGGACGAGTGCCTGCAGGCCCTGATGACGGCCGTGGGGTCTTCCCAGGACGTTGACAAGCAGGCCAAGGCTGACTGCATGGGCGCGCTTGTCGGCGCTCTCGAGCATGATGGCATGGCCAGGGACGAGTGCCTGCAGGCCCTGATGGGGAAACTGATGGTGTCCCAGGACGGGGACCAGAAGGCCAAAGATGAGTGCGTGGCCGCCATAGTTGCAGTACGTCTGCAGGACGGCACGGCCAAGCAGGACGTCTTGCAGGCGCTGATGGCATCAATCGCGGAGGACGGCAATGCCAAGCAGGAGTGCTTGCAGGCATTAAGTGCGTCCGAGGACACGGGCGCGAAAGCGAAGGAGGAATGCTTGGCAGCCTTGATGCGGTCGTGCGCGTCCGAGGGCGGCGAGTTCCAGGCTAAGGCGGACTGCGTGTCTGCCATGATGGCGGCGCTGGGCACAGGAGGCGCCGACCAGAAGGCGCAGGAGGAGTGCCTGTCGGCGCTGGTCGGCGCCATGGGGTCTCAGGGCATGGAGCAGCGCGCCAAGGAGGGGAGGAGGGCAGAGGAGGAGGCAAGGGGACGAGAAGGAGGAGGAGGAGGCAGAGGAGGCGGAGGGATGAGGAGGGAGGAGGACGAGGTGGTGGAGGAGGAGGAGGATGAGGATGAGGATGAGAATAAGGACGAGGGTGAGGATGATGATGAACCTTAGTATGATGACGACGATGATGATGAGGAGGCTGAGGATGAGGATGCTGATGTAGATGATGCTGATGCTGCTTGTTATGATGATAATGATGATGATGATGATGATGATGATGATGATGATGATGATGATGATGATGATGATGATGATGATGATGATGATGATGATGATGATGATGATGATAACGCTGATGATGCTGATGATACTGATAATGATGATGATGATAATGATGATGATGATGATGGTGATGCTGATGATGATGAGGTGATGCTGATGATGCTGATGCTGATGATGATGATGACGATGATGAAGATGAGGATGATGATGATGACGATGATGATGATGATGATGATGATGATGCTGATGATGATGATGATGATGCTGGTGATGCTGATGGTGGTGATGATGATGATGATGATGATGATGATGATGATGATGATGATGATGATGATGATGATGATGATGATGATGATGATGATGATGATGATGATGATGATGATGATGTGATGATGATGATGATGATGATGATGATGACGATGATGATGATGATGATGATGATGATGATGATGATGATGATGATGATGATGATGATGATGATGATGATGATGATGATGATGATGATGATGATGATGATGATGATGATGATGATGATGATGATGATGATGATGATGATGATGATGATGATGATGATGATGATGATGATGATGATGATGGGGGTACGTGCACGGATATGATTGAGCGGGGAGTGGGGTGTCGTCTGCCAACGATTAACAGGGAGCATTGCGACCGCAGCCCATCTCGGTTCTCAGGCCATGCAGTGGCAGGCGCCTCCGAACCTTCCTCTGTGGCTGGTTCTCTGGTTGCAGCTCTGCGAGCTCGTGCAAGAGCAGCTCTCGCAGGCCGTGCGGGAGCGCGAGCTGGCGGCGGCTCGCAACTGGACTGCGAGCGCGGCCGCGCCGCCTCCGCCGCCCCCGCCGCCACCGCCTGCCGCGCCAGCGGCCGCGTGGGCGGCTGGGGCGCCCCCGTGGGCGGAGGCCGAGTGCTCCGCCTGGGAGCCTGCCGCGCAGGAGTGCCCCGCGCCCGCGCCCGAGCCCCCCAGCAAGCTGGGAGCGCGGCCCACTGCTGTGGTGGGCGGGGCAGGTGCTTGGCGGCGCCGCGTTGCACGTGTGGCAGGCGCGGCGAGGAGTGAAGACAGAGACGGCGACGAGAGATGGCGAGAGCTCACGTGCCGTTGCGCCTCGCCGCAGGGGAGCAGGAGTTCTGGCGTGAGGCGGCCGTGGGCTCGCGGGCCCGCGTGAACTACTCAGATGATGACGTGGATCACGAGAGATATCTGCTGTGGCCAGCTCGACGTGTGTGCGAAGACGGGTCGGGCATAGAGGACGACGAAGTCTGGTGGGTTCTCCCTCCCGACGGAGACGTGTGGAAGGAGCGGTTCGACGGAGAAGATCCTCTCACGGGAGCGGCTCGACGGAGAAGATCCTCTCACGGGCCCCAGCGGGGCGCGGCCGATGCCGAACGTAGGCTACCCGTTGCTTGGCGCTCGGCGGCTGTGCAAGTTCAGGGAGAGGCCGAGTCACGAGCAGACCATGGCGCTAAGCAAGGGGCGCCGCGACGTCGAGACGGCGAGAGGGCAAAAACTGGAGCAATGGCCAAAGTACGTTATCGGGGACGACGGTCATCGAACGGAACTGTCGGCTGTTCTGCATGCACTTCGCGGTGATCTGGTTCAGCTGGTGGACGCCCCACCCCCTTCCGACGCGATCTGGGCGCTGATGGAGGCAGGCGGCGGACGGGCCATAGGCGAGGAAGTGCACATGACACCGGGGTCAGCAGCAACGTCACACCCAGCGCGTCGGCGAACAGTACGGCCTCGAGCAGCACCACGAGTGTGACGAGCACGACCAGTACCAGCAGCACCACTACGCCCAGCGTGTCGGCGAGCAGTACGACCGTGAGCAGCACCACGAGTGTGCCGAGCACGACCGAGACCAGCAGCAACACTACGCCTAGCACGTCGGCGAGCAGTACGACCGAGAGCAGCACCACGAGAGTGACGAGCACGACCGAGACCAGCAGCACAGCCACGCCCAGCGCGTTGGCGAGCAGTACGACTGAGAACAGCACCACGAGTGTGACGAGCACGACTAGTACCAGCAGCACCACTACGCCCAGCACGTCGGCGAATAGTACAACCGAAAGTAGCACCATGAGTGGGACGAGCACTACTAGCACCAGCAGCACCACTACGCCCAGCAGGTCGGCGAGCGGTACGACCGAAAGCAGCACCACGAGTGGGACGAGCACATCTGGCACCAGAAATACCACTACGCCCAGCGCGTCGGCGAGCAGTACGCCCGAGGGCAGCACCACGAGTGTGGAGAGCACGACCGGTACCAGCAGCACCGCCACGCCCAGCGCGTCGTCGAGCACTATGACCGAGAGCAGCACCATGAGGGTGACGAGACCACCACAACCACGACCACCCCGACATCGACGACGACTAACGCAACGCCCACGACCAACACGACCACGACCACCGCTAAGACCACGACGACCACCACCACGACCACGACACCTGGACCACCACGACCAGCACCGAGATTACGCAACGCACGACCATTGCCGACGCCACGACCTCGACCTCGACAACGACGATTCGATCACGACAATGACGACCACCACCACGGTCACCACTGACCGACACCAGCGTGACATTCTGACATCCAGGAGTGGCGCGGGCACAACGACGTGCCCAGGTGGGAGCAGTACAAGTGAGGCGAGCAGGGTTGGTGTGCTCCCCACCCCTCTTTTCCCCTCCCCTCCTCCCTCCGCCGCCTCTTCAATTGGCGCATGGGGCGCCTCGTGCAACTTGGGGCTGCTGGTGGGCTGTGGGCCGCCCGGTCCTGCGAATCGCTTCCGTAATTAGGAGGCCGCTCCTGGCCCGCGCAGTCGCCGTCACCGGCGTGTCTCCATGCGGCCTCGCCGCACCCGCGTAGCTTAGCTTTGCTTTTACATCTTATCTGGTGTGCGATCCTCGCCCAGTTTCCTCGCGTCTTGTTTCGGCGCCCCACTCATACAGGGATGCCCGTGCCTTCGTTGTGTGCTGTGCTGCCCCCGCTTGCCGGCTGTTGTGTGCGACCTGCTTATATTAATGGTCGGTGGGACCATGTGGGATTGCTCTTTAGTTGTGCTGGTTTTCTTGTTGTGGCCGTCTGTGCCATAGGGGTGTTCACACAACTTTGTAGTTCGCTCGCTCTTTGCAGGCTCGGGCCCTTGGGTTGGCACGCCTCTGACGGTTTGGCCATTGTGCACTTCCTTGCCGCCCGGCGAATCTGCTTGGGCAATTAATGTTTGCCGGTGCTTCTCCAGTGGAGGAGCCATGGGCAACGGCTTCCAGCAGTTGGGCACTGATGGACTGTAGTGTTGGAGGGGCTTGGTGGCGTTGTGGTTGGGGGAAAAAAAAAACATGACACCGGCGGGCGTGGTTGCTGGCAGCGACGGGCTGAAGTTCATGGGCTCGGAGGTGTCTCGAGGGCGTCGGGTGGGTGTCGGTAGTGCGCCCGCCTTGGCCATCGCGCAGATAGCGCGCCTGCGCCGAGCCATAGACGCATTGGAGCCTCAGGTCGACAGATCGGTGGACATGGGAGTGAAGGACCAGCTCGGGCTGAACACTAGCGAGACCGTGGGCGAGGCTGGCAGTGGAGAGGAGCGTAGAGCGACCAGTAGCGCAGACGACGTGAGGACCCTCAGCGTGGACTTCGACGGGCACGGGGAAAGGTTCAAGGTTTGGCGCAGCGTGGTGAGCGAGATCACGGCCGAGAGCTTCCCCGATGACCCGATCGATGGGCCCGTGTCCATCGCCCACCTGGCGAAGGCCAAGTACAAGAGCGGGGGCGACCCGATGCGCTGGCTGGCCGAGTGGAGCCGAGAGCACCGCGTCGAGCGCACGGATCGGATCTACCACGAGCTGGAGTTTCTTTCCCACGCCCTGCTGCTAGCAGGGACCTACGACCAGGTGAGCTTGGGCGGTCTGCGGTCGCTGGAGAGGCTCGCGCGGCGAATTCAGGTGATCACCGACGCCCACTCTGTGCCTGGAGCTCCAGCCGACTGGCGGATGGCCCGCTACCTCACATGCGAGACGGGCCCTGGAGACGTGGTGGCACCTGAGCTGCGCAGCTTCGGTGCCAAGCGGGCCAAGGAGGACGCCGAGTTCTTGAACGCTCGTGTTCGGGGCCCCACGGCGGCCCAGCGGCCGGAGTCAGGTAAAGGTGACGGCAAGGGCGACAAGAAGGGGCCGAAAAGGGCTGAAGAAGGCTCCCGACGTGACCGCGTCAGGGGCTGACACATGACGATGGAAGGAGTGGCCGCTGGACGTGGTCTAGCCAGCGGCCTCGAGTGTGCAGGGCCGCCTGGGCCAGGGCCTGGGGAGGGCGTTCGCGACATCTTCCCGTTGCCAGGGAGGGAGGAGCTCGTGGGCCATGCGGCGTCAGGGCGAGGTCGGTGTCGACTTCGTCAGCGGCGCTTTCATGATGTGCTAGTGAACGAGGCGGTTGACAGCCTCGATTGGCTTGCAGGGGCATCCGTGGGGTCTTCCACGACGCCCGTGCGGCCGTGCAGCTCGACGTCATGCAGCGCGTCGATGGGCAGGTGAACGACATCGTGCAGCCGATGCGAGGCGTGGGGCTGCAGCCTCCGCATTCAGCCCTGCGGGAGTTGATGCGAGGGAGGTCGCCTTACCTTGGCGGCCCTCCCGAGGACGTGCTCGCCCCTTGCCGACCTGGGCTGCCGTCGCTTCCCGAGAGCATCGCCGAGGCGCCCGCGCTTCGTGAGCTGCTTCGGGGGCAAGCGCGCCAGTGCGTGGAGGGGCAGGGCGAGCGCATGCTGCGGGACCGCGAGAGCGTGCTCGAGGCGCTGGGGCGTTGTCCGCGGGCGCCGTTCAGCGAGCCATCGCTGGTGCGGAGCCGGCGGCGGTGCGGTGACTTTGCGAGGGATCTCGCGAAACGGGGACTGGCGCCATTTGCACGTCAGGTCCCGGAGATGGTGGGCATCTTTTTCGTGTGGAAAAGGGGGGGGGGGGGGGCTCGTGTGATTCTGGACTGTCGCAGGAGCAACGCTTGGTTGATAGATCCCCCGTCGGTGCAGTTGCTGACAGCGGAGGGTCTCTCGGCCTTCGAACTCGAGGAGGACGGGGGCGCCGAGGACCATCTGCAGGCGGCCTTCCAGGCGGCGCTCGAGGACGTGGAGTTCTCGGTGGGAGTGGCGGACGTGAAGGGCGCCTTCCACCGCATGCGGCTGCCGCCCTGGATGAAGCGCTCGTTCGGCCTGCCCGCCCTGAAGGCCGGGGGCGTCAGGCTCCACGGGGCGATGCTGGATGGGGAAGGTGCTCGGCTACGACGACGTCATCTTCCCTGTCCCCGAGGCTCTCCCGATGGGATGTACGTGGAGCCTGTGCCTGTGCCAGAGCGTGACGGAGCTCCCCTGTCAGTTCGCGCCGAGCCTTCGCGACGGCGCGCCCCTCAGCGACGTGGGGGGGCCATTGGTGCTCAGGTTGGCGGCGGGCACGGCGCAGATCGAGCACTGCGTGTACGTCGACAACATGGGCGTGATCGGGCAGAACGGGGAGCGCGCGAGCAGCAGCCTCGACGAGCTGGCGCAGGCTTTCGAGGCCGTGGGTCTACGCGTCCACGGGCGTGAGGTTCGGAGTGACGGCGTCGAGGTGCTCGGCGTGGTGCTGGACGGCCAGAGGCTGCAGACGCGCCCGACGTCGAAGAGTCTCTGGAGGGTGCGCCAGGTGATCACGGGACTGCTCCAACTTCTTGCAGTCCGTGGTGATGATCTGTGCGCCCTGCTGGGGCATTGCACGTGCCTGGGCCTGGTGCGCCGCCCCGTGCTCTGCGTCTTTCACTCTTGTTATAGGTATATGACTAAAATGGGCAAAGATTCAGCATCCCTTTGGAATAGTTGCCGAGAAGAGTTGAAGGCGTTTCGGGGCTTGCTTCCCCTGATCGTCTCAGATTGGTGGTTGCCATCTAATCGATGGGCGCAGTGTTCGGATGCTTCTGAGAGTGGGCTTGGTATAGCGGGGAGCTTCTGGGATCTCGAGGCTCTCAACTCCGAGGGGCGCTGGCGGGGGAGGCGTCGTTTTCGTGCCGAGGGGGGGGGGGGCGCGCGTCGCTCCGCCCTCTCTGCCGCGGGTCTTGGGGAGCTTCTGACCGCCAGGGAAGAGGGCGTGGCTCTCTGTGTTGACGAAGGCGAGAAGGGCTTGACCGAATCCACGCTGCCCAGGGGTGACTACGAGATGGACCCGGAGTTCCGTGAGGTGCCCAGTTCTCTCCTGTCTCATCAGATTTAGCGTAACGTTGGCCAGGGTACGTGGAGGTACTGTGAGCACATCGGCATTTTAGAGTCCAGGGCCCTCGTGAAATCTCTGAGGCGTATTGCACTCACTCGTTCCGGCATCAAAGCCAGGCAGATCTTGTTAGTTGATAACCTAGGTGTAGCACTAGCGTTCGATAGATGTAGGACTCGTAGCTTCGTGATGTTGCGACTGATTCGTAAAACCGCTGCCTATCTTTTAAGTCGAAACCTTAGGGCAATCGTCCGCTGGGTCCCAAGCGAGCTCAACAATAGTGACGAAGGCTCGCGGGCCGACGGTGGCGAACCGTCCAATATTCTAACGCGTCTGATTCCTGTCTCTCTGCCTGCCTTTTCTCTTCCTCCTGAGTCGAGTCTCAGGGGCGAGGATGAGTCGAATAGTATAGTTGGCGACGACCCCCCTGTGTCCGTGCGCGCCGTTCGGCCCCCTTAAGCTGTCGGCGTGCTGAACCTGAGTCAGTTCTAAAGTCAGTCAGTTCTAGTTGCTGCAATGCTGAATGCGAGCAAGCGAGTAGCCCCGTTTCAGTGCACCATGTAAGAGCTCTGGAAACAAACGAGCATCGCCGTCACCCCTCCTCTCTCATCCTCGGGGCCCCCTGCTCCTCTGGATCAGAAGGGGCCCCTGCGTCTCGGTCTCACTCCGAGGCCGTTTTGGCCCAGGCCGTTGTCGACGCCTCGGACGCTGCCGAGGGCTCGGCCGACTGCGACGGGCCCTTCCCCAGCAGCAGAGCCATCGGCGGCGCCGCGGCTGAGGGTGCTCACGCGGGAGAGAGCTCGAGGCGCGAGCGGAGCCCCGCTGGAAGGCCGAGGGCCGCCCGTGCCAGCGGAGGGCTCGCGAGCGCAGTGCCTGGAGGCGGCGGCGGACGCGCAACCTCCCGCCATCCGAAGGCGCGTCGCCGGAAAGCGCGCTCGGTCTGCTGGGGGGAGCTCGAGCGGCACTGCCAGCGAGTCCGATGCCGCCGTCGAGCTCAAGCGGCAGAGGACACTGGTGAGGCGTGTGAAGTGGCGGCACCTTGCGGTAGCTTGTGCGATCGAGGACGGGGTGCCGCTCGACCGATACTTGGAGTCGAGCACGGTGACGCCGTGAGGGAGGGCCCAGTGCCAGAGAGTGCTCGAGCAGCTGAAGCAGAGGTGTGGCCGCCAGGACTTTTTCGAGATGCCAGCGGAGACGATGGACGCCTGCCTGGTCCACTACTTCACCTCGCTGTACCTGCTGGGCAAGCAGGCTTCGACGGGGATTTATGTCGCGGCGGCTGTGAACCACATCTATCCGAAGTTTGGGCGCCTGGGAGCAGACGCACTACGCCCTGGCGACATAGTGAAACCGGGAGGTGGCAGTCAGCACTGGGGGCTCCTCATGCACCCCCAGGAGCGAGCAGCGCCCGACAAAGTGGGGGAGTTCGACCTGGGCGTGAGGCTGGACTCCTCGTGGCTACGGTGGATCGGGCCAGTCCTCAGCGAGCTGCAGATGCTCGGTCCTCGGAAGCCCGTGTGGGATTTCGACTGCCCCGAGCTGCTGCGCAAGATGAGGGCGGCCTGCCGCGTGATGCAGCTGCGGCCCGTCACGCCGTATCAGGCGGGGCACTCGGGGGCGAGCGTCGACCATGCCAGCAGCGAGAGGGTGCAGGCAGAGGTGCGGCGGCGGGGAGGCTGGCGCCAGTTGAAGAACATGGCGCGCTACGAGAAGAGCGCGCGCCTCGGGCAGCGCGCGCAGATGCGCGGGCCGATGCTGGAGGCGTACGGCGACCAGTGCTTGCGCGAGCTGGAGCGCGCCTTGATGTAGGGGCGAGCGGTGCCCCTGCCAGGAGGCATCCAGCCCTCGCCGAGCGGTGCAAAGCGCTCCTGATCGGGGGCGGGCTGGCCGCGATCGGGTCGGGCCTCGCCGAGGGTGGGGTGCCTACCTGGATGTGGCGAGGCGACGCCCTCGGTGACGAGCGGCTGGGCGCGCCCTTGGAGCGCCGCCTTCAGGCGCACCTGCGGCGTGGTGAGCTAGCCGTGCTTTTCCTGTCGCCCGCGTTGCCGTCGGGCAAAGCTGCAGGTAGGCTAGCAGGCCACCACCGACTGCGGGGGTTTGCGGAGAGATTGAAACGGCTCATCGCCACGGCATGGCGAGCTCGCGTGCCGCTCCTCCTGGAGATGCCCCAGGGTAGCCGGCTCTGGCCACATCTCGTTAGCCAACCCGATGTGCCAGAAAGTTTCGTGACGGCAGTCGTCAATGATAGATGCATGTTCGGAGCCTCCTGGAGACGCCGTTGTATATACATGCACGTGGGCACGGAGCCCGAAGACATAGCGATCTTGGCTCGTACTTGTCACAGTTGCACAGGTATTTGTGATAGGACTGGCGTCCCTCATATCCGCCTACGGGGCAGAGATAAATTCGGCGTGAGCCATGCTAGTTACTCCCTTAAACGCCCAGCGTTTTTAAGCCAAACGGTCACCCACTCCCTCCAATCCCTCGCGAGAGCCTCCATCTATAATGCTAACCCTGTGTAGGAGGCAGGGGGCTCCCGCGCGGCGTTTTTCTTTTTCGTCTGACTGTCTTCGGTTCCCTCAAAGCGGGGCCTTTTCGGCCCCTCGTCCCAGAGCTCTGGAGGAGCAGCTCGCTGATCGCAGCGAGCCGTCGTTATCAGAACTCGGTTCTCCGCCGAACGAAACAGCGTATCATGGGGGTGCGTGCGCGGATATGATTAAGCGGGGAGTGGGGTGTCGTCTGCCAACGATTAGCAGGGAGCATTGCGACCGCAGCCCATCTCGGTTCTCCCAGCCCGCCCAGCCCGGGAGGGGGGCACCCGCGCGGCGGGCTATTTTTCGTCTGACTGTCTTCGGTTCCCTCAGAACGGGGCCTTTTCGGCCCCTCGTCCCAGAGCTCTGGAGGAGCAGCTCGCTGATCGCAGCGGGCCGTCGTTATTAGAACTCGGTTCCCCGCCTAACGAAACAGCGTATCATGATCATGATGATGATGGTGATGATGATGATGACGACGATGATGATGATGATAATACAGATGATGATGCGGATGATGCTGATAATGATGATGATGATGATGATGATGATGATGATGATGATGATGATGACGATGATGATGATGATGATAATGATGATGCTGATGCTCATGATGATGCTGACGCTGAGGATGCTGCTGCTGATGCTGATGCTGCTGATGACGACGATGACGGTGCCGTCGTTGATGATGATGTTGATGCTAATGCTGATGTTGATCCTGGTGGCGCTGGTGGTGATGCTGATGACGATGCCGATGATGACGGCGATGGTGATGATGATGCTGCTGCTGCTGATGACGATGCTGATGCTTATGATTATGAAGATGCTGTTGCTGCTGATGCTGATGAGGATGTTGAGGATAAGCTGGATGCTGGTGCTGATGCTGCTGATGATGCGGATGAGAAGGAGACGGAGGAGGAGGATGAGGAAGGATGATGAGGAATATGAGGGGTTGGACCAGTGTAGAGCCAATGCCCATCAACTATGTTGGAATATACCCTCCTTCCAAGCCCCCCCATCATAGGCCCCGTACAAGGATGGACCTCCACCGAGGGGAGAGCTCCGTTTGGAGACAACCGTTTGAGGATCTTGAAGCGTGCCAGAGCAGCAGTTTCAGGATTTCAACGCCACGGTCCAACCTGATTGTTGAGTCTTGGCGATCCTGAATCGGGCCAGCACACCATTTCTGGAGTTTCAACGCCGCGGATACGTAACTGGTGCGCCCAGACAGCCTGGAATCATTCTAGCACGCTGTTTCTGGTTCGGTAACCGTGCGAACCAGTGAACGCCCTGCCAATTTCGAAAGCCAATGTGCGCGGTGCTAATGCGAGAGCCACATGTTGATACGAAACCGCCCTCAATTCGCGAACCCCTTGCAGTAAACCAAAAAGGAATGTGCGCGGCGCTGGCGCGAGGGCCACGTTTTGGACCCCCCTCCACACCTGTGAAATTGTTGCCATTTTCCATGTTTGAGGATCACGCATGGTCAGGGGGTCCCATACGAAACGCCAGGCCCGCCCTTCCGACTGGCCCCGGGGTGCGACAGGGAGGAGTTTTTCATGAGGAGAAGGGATGGAGGATGAGGAAGAGTTGGGGGAGGAGCTGGAGGAGGGAGGATGAGGATGAATGATGCTGATGATGCTGATGGTGATGATGCTGCTGATGATTATGCTGCTGATGATGATGACGATGATGGCGCTGCTGATGCTGATGCTGATGATGGTGATGATGCTGATGTCGCTGATGATGATAACGACGACGATGCTGCTGATGATGGTGATGATGATGATGCTAATGATGATGATGCTGCTGATGATGCTGATGATGATGCCATGTTGCTGATGCTGCTGAAGCTAATGATGATGATGATGATGATGATGATGATGATGGTGATGGTGATGATCATGATGATGATGATGCTGATGATGATGATGATGCTAATGATGATTGTGATGATGATGACGACGATACTGATGATGATGCTGATGATGATGGTGATACTCATGATGCAGATGATGATGATGATGATGATGCTGATGCTGATGCTGATGGTGATGCTGATGCTGATGATGGTGATGGTGATGCTGATGCTACTGCTGCTGATTATGATGATGATGCTGATGCTGCTGATGCTGCTGATGATACTGATGATGATGATGCTGCTGATGATGATGATGATGATGATGATGATGCTGCTGCTGCTGCTGCGGATGATGGTGATGCTGATGCTAATGATGATGACGATGATGATGATGATGACGGTACTGATGATGATGATGATGATGATGATGATTATGATGTTGCTGATGAGGCTGTTGATGATGCTGATGACGACGGGGCGGATGGTGATGCTGATGCTGATTGTGATGATGCTGTTCATGATGATGCTGATGATGATGCGGATGCGGATGATGCTGATGCTGCTGATGATGATGTTGATGCTGATGCTGATGATGATGACGATGCTGACGGTGACGCTGATGGTGCTGCTGCTGTTCATAAGTATGCATATTTTGATGGTGATGATGATGACGACGATGCTGATGCTGATGCTGATGATGATGGTGATACTGATGATGCAGATGATGATGATGCTGATGGTGATGCCGATGCTGATGCTGATGATGGTGATGGTGATGCTGATGCTACTGCTGATGATGATGATGCTAATGCTGCTGATGCTGCTGATGATACTGATGATGATGATGATGATGCTGCTGATGATGATGATGCTGCTGGTGCGGATGATGATGATGATGATGATGATGATGATGATGATGATGATGATGATGCTAATGATGATGACGATGATGATGATGATGATGATGCTAATGATGATGATGATGATGATGATGATGATGATGATGATGATGATGGTGATGGTGATGGTGATGGTGATGGTGATGATCATGATGATAATGCTGATGATTATGATTATGATGATGATGATGATGCTGATGATGATGATGCTGCTGCTGATGATGATGATGATGCTTATGATGATGACGATGATGATGATGATGATGCTGCTGATGATGATGATGATGCTGCTGATGATGATGATGATGATGATGATGATGATGATGATGATGATGATGATGATGATGATGATGATGATGGATGGTGGTGGTGGTGGTGGTGGTGGTTGGTTGTGGTGGTCGTGGTGGTGGTGAGATGAGGGGGCTGAGGAAGAGGAGGAGGAGGAGGAGGAGGGAGGAGGAGGAGAGGAGGAGGAGGAAAAGGGATAGGGAGAGGAGTAGGAGTAGGAGGATGAGGAGGAGGAGGAGGAGGAGGAGGAGGAGGAGGAGGAGGAGGAGGAGGAGGAGGCGCGCATGTGCACTTGGGGTAGCCGTCATCGTTACAGCTGGCTGTGCTTGGGCTGCGTCTCCGTGAAAGCGGCTCCCGACAACGACATTCGCGCTGTGGCTCCTCGTGCCCAGGATGTCCACGTCCAGGAGGCGCGAACGGTGTTGGCTTCGGCGGCCGCTAGCCGGAGCAACGCAGACGGCGGCCGCGAGGCCGAGGGGCCCGAGCAGGAGCAGGGGCAAGTTCCAGTGATGCACCCTGCATGGGACGACACGGCCCTCCCTGATCGGGCTTGGTGGCAGCGCCTGGACTGGCGGTCTGCCTTGCGCTCCGGGGCCCCTACGTTCGTGCAAGTGCCAGACAGGTTTCGCGGGGCAATGACGCATGCGAGGCGCAAGGCGCTGGAAGTCCTGGAAGAGGCGAGCCGGCACGGAGAGGCCGCAGCAGAGTGGAAAATGCTGTTGTTGTTCGACTTGGTGTTATTTGCTCGGCCCCGGGGGGCGGGCCCCACGTGCGCGGAGCTGCTGGAGGAACGGTTGGCTATGTGGTGGGGCGGGCAGTGGGCTCCGCTGTGGGCGTCGGCCACGAGCGGCCCACCCCCGCGAGCGCCAGCGCGGAAGACGACCGACAAGCAGAGAGCGCACCGGGTGCACACTAGCTGCGGCTGGGGAGGAAGCCCGCGCGCTGGCAGCAGCAGTGCAGGCCGAGCTGGCGCCGCGCGCCGCCGAGACGCTGCGGAAACTGCGGGCGAGCTTCCCGGAGGAGCCACTTGGCGGCGCCAACGGGGTGCCACCACCAGTTGTGCCCCACGCGCCGCCCAACGCCGAGCTCAGGGAGGAGGCGGAGGAGGAGGAGGAGGTGCGCGAGCCACTGCGGCGCCCTCCCCGCCTGGCGGCGCCGGGCCTGCTGGGGACGCGGCTCGAGCACCTGGGGGCGAGCGCCGCCGACGGCGAGACTTCGCGCCTGCTCGCCCGGGCTGCCACGAGGGTCGCCTTCGGGGAGCTGCCGCGGGAGGTGCTCGAGGCCCTGCGCGCGGGGCAGCTCGTGGCGCTCGCGGAGGGCGCCGGGGACGTGAGGCCTCTGCTGGTGGGCGGCACTCTCCGCCGCTCGGGGCTGCGCGCGCTGGCGAGAGCACGGAGGACTCAGCTGGCCGACGCAGCCGGGAAACGCCAGAACGGCGTGGGGCGCAAAGGCGGCTCCAACGTATTGGTAAAGAGCCTGCAGGCCCTGG